TACCAGATGTAAATCCAATGATTATTGCAGTCATTTACATGCCCTTTATATACTACTAAAAGAGTATAATAATATCTATTCTAGAAAGGACTGTGACTACACAGTGAGTCATACAATGCTGTGCACTACCTAATGATAGAAAGAAGAGAATAGAAAGGAAAGGAATGGAAGGATCTAATAAGATCATTCTAGTACATTCTGTCCATGATGTAGGATCACCTGATTGGTAATCTCATGATATGTCTCACATGATCTAGTCACATGTATCACTTTTATGACATGACATATATCTTTACAACATGTGGGTCATAGAGTGTGTAGGCAGATGACAAGTGCTAACTGTGAGACTACAGGGTGAAGTGCTGGGGTCAGAGAGAACCACTACCCCTCCCATAGTAGTGAGGTGCAGCAGACCTTGCAGGCCATTGGCCAGGGGTTAGGGTTGACCAGGGAGAGTGCCTTCATGTCATCTTTCAAGAGTAGTGAGTTACTTGAGCCTTGACCAAGAGACTCACTGTTCAACCTGGGAGTGCAACCAGAGGGTGTCAGCTTGTTGCTAGCCAAGGGTCTGACACACCCAACATTTTGCAAAAAGGGGAGAGTCACATGATTGCCCAAAATTAACAAGGTATGAGGAGAGCTGGAAGATCAAGTGCTCAAGCTTCAAAGCTTCAAGGCTCACAGGACCAGCAACACCTGGGGGTCAATGGCCATCAAAAGTGGACAGCCATGATGCTGTGACCTGGGTGAGTATCACACACACACTGTAGACTCCCACTGAGGTACAGGTATACCCTCCCAACATTATTATGCTTCCTAATGAAAGTGCAATATGTTGTTCACAATAGGTATGCCCATAAAGGTTATGGTGGAGCTGGTGTTATTGGAGTTAGGAGAGGGAATCAAGACAGGGATCTTATGGATAGAAGGTATGTGTGAGCCTCCTGGGATTGTTGCAGTGGGATCTGATCTACTGATCATTTGTAGAGGACATCAAGACATTCAGGAGGACATCAAGACATTCAGAAGCTGTGTGCCCACCTGCAATGATTTGGTCATGTAGAGACCACTCACCAGCTACCTGGGGAAATGGACACAGACAAATGTCTCACCAGTGGCTCAGGAAGTACTCAATAGGAATATGCCAACCTGTTATCAATGACTTGTGAGCCATTTAACAACATGGTATTTCATTTCATTTCAAACTTTTACTAGTTGTGATCCATGGACCATTCCCTTTGTCCATCACCCACTCCTTTCATCAACATGAACCTCTAGATTACATATAGTGGCTCAGTCCACCAAGTCATGTTTTCTTGTCTTTTTCTATTTTGGGCTAATTACAAGTACATCCAATGCCAGAAATGAATTAGAGAATCATATTGATACCTCCCCATTTGTAGAAGAGGAGTATTTAATACATCCCCCCTCTTTTGACTACAAGTCCAACCAGTGTGACCTTATTTCATCTCCTCTCCCTCCTCTTTCTCCCCTGGACAGATGTCACTTTGGTTTCAAAGTACTTATGAATGTTGGAAACCAGGGACTTGTGTTAGCCAGATTAATCCAGATTCCAATCCAGATAGTTGGATTAATCTACTAAATGAACTTGCAGGGATTTTCAGAAAGAACATTAGCTAAAATGATGGGGTATGAGTGGGAATTGAACCATGAACCTCATCACAAGGA